ATGGATATCAACATGGCAAATATGCTTTTTGAATTCATCTGGAAAAAAATGTATTGTTAAAAAATGAGAATGCCAGAATTTCAGGGCTCGTCTTACTTCTCCTGATTGTTGTTGTGAGTGTTAGGTGAGATAATGCACTGACATTATAATGCCATTAATAATGATATACAATACAGGTGCCCGGCTCATGGTAAGTGTTTGAAAATGATAGTTGTTTTTATTGCTATTATTTTATTATCACCTTTGCTAGTTCTTCACTCCCACCACCCACACATATTTTCTACTTGTATATATTCTTACTACTAATATTATTCTATGCTTACAATAAAGGTATGAAATATGTCTCATGGTGGTCATTTAAAAATAATCATAAAATTATATATCTATTATTTGCCAGTATTGAAACTAGCTAAGGGTGAGGTAAGACTCTATCACTGGAGCATGTGAAAGCTTTAATTGCTTGTGGATGAAATTTCTGAGGAGCTGCAAGGATGAAAAATAATTTCTCTCAGAGAATTATAAGCACATTTTGTCCATAGTTTAGTGTCCGAGTGTTCTGGCTTAGCACTTAATGTAATTACCCCTCCGCAGTCTCACAGTGTTCCTTTGTTCATTCATTCATATGGAAAACAACATAGAGTATCTATTAGGTATAAAACATTGTTCTGGGTAATGTGAGATATAAAAATAGCAAGATAAGTTAGATGAACTGTCTCTACTCAAGTCTAGTAGATGATTCAGACAGCAAACCACTAGGTAACATGTAAGGACTTTGGAGCCAGATTATTTGGTTTGAATCCCTGCTTTGAAATTAACTAGTTGTGTCCCTTTAGGCAAGTTTTTAATCTGAAACTCTTTCAGTTTCCTTACCTACAAAATGAAGCTGAAAATAATACCTGGTGCATAGGATTGTCCTGAGGATGAAATGATTTGGTACGTGTACAGCATTTAGAGCAATAATGTATTGAGCACTCAATAAATGTTAATTAATGTTAATGTTATTATTAGATAAAGCAGAATAAAATTAATGCCATAAAACAATAAAAACAAAGTAATACAGTATTATAGAGGATGATAATACTAATTTTTACTATATGTCTGGGGGCAATAGAATTAGAGGAGCTTTATTGGATGAAGTGATGTTTAAACTGAAACCTGAAGCATAATTTCTATAGGACAAAGAAGAATGCAAGAGTAGGAGGGAGTTGATTTCTAGGCTGAGGGTATAGTCTAAGCAAAGATTTAAAGGTGGTAGAAAATGAAAACTTTCGGGGACTTTGTAGTCAGAGACTTGTATGTGAAGCCCAGCTCCCTCGGTTCAGCCGTGTGGCCCTGGGCAGGCTGGGCAGGCCCTGTTTGGTTTCCCCCTCCCTGACCCATGGCCTGGTAACCTTCTAGGCAGTAAGCTCCAATGGTAGGGCTGAACTTGTCACATCCTGCCTGTCGTCCAGTGTCTGTATGCCATTATTTTGTCTATATTTTAGTTTTTTAAGGCAGTAGGCTAAGTCCTGTTTCTGTTACTCCACCATTTTTGGGAGCAGAAGACCAAAGTATTAGTTTTACTTTTCTCCGCATTGAGCATAGGATTTATCTTCTAATTCAGTTAGGCCCTGTAGTTAGTTATTTTTTGTATTCACTACACTACATTACAAGTTTTAGTTGACTTATCCACCTCCTAATTACACTGGCCTCTTTGAGAGCGGGGCCTGTGTCCAGTTCATCTTTATCCCCACTCCCAACCCACTACTCTGTTTTGAGTCTGGAACATAGGAGGCAGTCAATATCTTTTGCATTGAATTCAATCACTGTGAATTGTACTTCAGTACCATCCTGTGAAAGACTTGGAATGCTAAGCTAGAGTTTGGATTTTCATCAGCAAAATCCACTCAGGATTTTTAAGGAGGGAAGGGAAATTCCATGAGCCTTGGGTTTTTTTTTGTTGTTGTTGTTTGTTTGTTTGTTTTTTAAAGAAGATAACTTTAGAAGCATAAAGATGGATGACAGAGGTTAGTAGTTGAAAATAATTAGATTACATATTTAGGATTCTAGGCAATAACAGTAGGAATAAAGAAGGACCATTTATTTTGGAGTAAAATTTCACAGTGTAAAGAAGTAAATAATGTTAGGAATTTCTCTAAATTCTCAGTGTTTTTTTTTTACTAGAATAAAGCTTGAATTTAAAATATTTTCAATGAGATGAATTACAGCTTTTATTTTATCATACAGTGATAATTTTCTATTGTACTACAAACATCATTGTCTCTTTTTATGTACATTTTGTCTCATTGTAATCTCTTTGCATACTATACTTATATGTATTTTTCTTCCCCTGTTAGTTTTTAGGTTTTTCTGAAAGATTGCTTCTTTTAGCCTGTAGAAGATGTCAGTAATGAACTCAGGGCTAAACATTCATTTTGTGCAGTTGAATGAGATAGTACCTATAGAAGGACCTAGAGTGAGAATTAACTTTCTCAAATAAATTTTAACTTTGATTTTCTAGTATCAATTTCCATCCAAATTGTCTTCTCTTTTTGAAAGAAGATAGTAGAACTACTAAGAGAGAAGTTGTGGTAGAAGTGAGGGAACAAGAAACTTTAGAACAATTATGGATATTCTCCAATGCCAAACATTTGTGCATAAAATATAATAGTAGCTATTTGAAAGTTAAAACACTTGTACCAAGAACTTGTTTACAGTGGTCTGAAGGACATTAATTAGAACTAATGGATTGAATATGTGTATAGGAAGTATTTCTCCCAATGAGTTTTGTTCACTTTGGTATAATCCTCTAAGGAAGTAATGCTGCTTGTAAAGTGTGACCTAACTTGAAAAAAGGGACACAATGTTTGAATCAACAATAGCACAATAACATGCTGACTGGTAGGGGGATTTTTTCTTTTTTAAATATTCCATTTCTCATTTCAGTTTCTTATGTGAACTATTTGTTACTCCTGTTATAGAGAATAACACACACAATGACTACCACTTATTGAATCACCCTTTGTACCGATAACTGAACTATGAGATAAATATTACCTCATTATTATTCACCACAATCTCATAAGGCAGATATTATTTACATTTAATCTAAGGCTAAATTAGATTAAATAACTTCCATAAGACTACACATTTAGTTATGGCAGAGTTATTCAGGATCAAAGGTGGTATTATAGGTAAAAATGGATTGCTAAGTCTAATGTGTGGACTGTTAAATGCAATGAATGGAGTTTCTCCCTTTTATCCAGTAAGCAGAAAAAGATGAGCTTTATGGAACAGGAGTGGGAAAGGAGTAAGGAGGGAGGGCGAATGTTCGTGTTTTTGACAGGTAAGTTCATCAGAGAATATAAGGCTGATGTCTCATTGTGGTATGTGTTTCCAAACAAAGCTTTTGGTACTCCTTTGGACACTGATGTCCAGGGCAGCTGAAAAACTGCATTGTGTTTTGCTGGGACCAGTTGAGGGGCCAGGAGCAATGGTGGCAGCAAGGAAGGTTTTTATAACTTTTAACTCTATTTGGTATACCTTTTGCGAGTGAACTTACTTGATACAGCTGTTGCAAACTGTTAGAGCCCTTTGGGCCTGATGCCATGTGATGAGAGTCACATCTTTTCCTACTGACCTGCCCTCAACATCTGTGGTCTTAACCAGTGTGCTGTTTTGTATAACAAGCTTAGTATTCAGTGTACCTGCATCAGTCGCAGAGAAAACCAGCATCTATTCCTGCATACAGTTCTAAACTTTGAAATAACATTGAGCTCTAGCTCAGAGGGGCAAAAATCAATTACATAATATGATCTCTTACTATAAATGGGGCATCCCAAACGTATATAACCAATTAGAAATTTTCTAAGTTTCTTGTAGTCACAAGAATATTTACACCTGGGTGAATTGCAAGAGATGAACAAACTCTGACTCTCCAAAGTTCCGCTACAAAGAAGTCTAGTTATTTGCCTTAGTTTCAAAAGAATAGTTTGCTAAGTATTTCAAAATGTCCATTGGCTGCCCCAGCCATTCTCTTTGGAAGCTTCTTTCTCATCCTCATGGCACATCTCTCTGGCATGCATGACCAGCTGCAAGCTAAACCCTGTGGAATAAGAATTCTTTCATCCCTTTGTTTGATGTGTTTCATTTTCAGAGTTTGGATGATCCACTTCGGCAGCAGCAGCAGGCATTGTTAGTTTCAATAGGCAGCCTGGATGCACAAGAACAGTCTTCATGGAGAGACAGGCTCTCAGGGTCTGTCCCTTCGTGCCATGGTCTCTGTTAGATCACTTTCCCCTGCTGGATTAATGACCAGAAAAAAAGGGAAACAAACCATACCCAAAGGAATCCAATTAAAGTACTTGAACTTCACTGACGTCCATCCTATTGTTTTCTTAACTCCCTAACCTATGGTTAATTATTCTGACCAGTAGAAAGGAATGGCATAAATGTGAGAATTATCTCAAATTCTCTATTTTTTTTTTTTTTAGTTTGAGAAAGCATCAAACTTTTGTTGTAAAAGATGAAATAATCTCTGTTTGCTGCAGTTGAACTTTATTTTGGTTGATGTTTTAATCTCTAATATCTTTACCAAAGTCACTTCCAAGACTTATTGTATGATACTGTTCAGCTTACAATTTTATTTCTGATCACAGTTTATGCTGCAGTATTAATTCATTCTGGGCACCTTGGCTTCCATGAATCTCCAATTGATCCCACTCCCACGACTGTGATATTCTCTTCCTGGTTAATCAAGAATTCCCTTTCTGCTCTGTCATCCATGCCATTGTAAGTAGGAAAGTAATTTAGGCTTTTGGCTCTCAGCGTCGTCATTTGTGAAATCACCACCCCAGACTCTAAAGTTCTGTGTCCAAAACACAAACTAAGATTTCTAGTAATAATAATTTATGTGTGTATGATGATTGATAGGTTTTAGAGTTTTTTTTCCTGTATTTTATATAATTCTAACCATAGTTCTGTGAGATGGGGAGAACAGGTATTTTTCTCTTCTTTTTCAGATAAGGATACTGCAGCTCAGGGAGATGAAGTAACTTACCCCACATCAAACAAGTAGTAAGTGGCTGAATCTGAACTTTAAATTCAGTTTTTCCCACATAAAATGATGCTTCCTTTGATAGGAAGTTTCTTTCTTAAAGTCTAAGTTTATTTATTAATTATAAGTTTGTGTGTATATGTATGTTCATGCTTTGGAAAGGGCTTCTTTACACTTAATTGAGTTTGGGGTAGAATTTGGTGACTTTAGTTTTTATCAGTGAAGGAGTCTCCTAGGATTTCTAATTAAGAAAGATAAGAAGGAATGTGTTACCTTTCTAGTAGAGAATTTTGGTGTTATTATTGTAAACCCCTCTATCAAATTTAATTGTATTTTTCAATTGTAAATCCATTCTTCCAGAAACATAATATACTTATTAAATGGTATTCTTTGTGAATAGGGAAGTATGAATATAGTAGAAGCCAATCCCTGCTTCAGGCCAATAGGATACCCTCTGAAAAATGGTACATTTCCATTTATCTGTTTACCTGAAGGTATGCTTATTTAGAGTCATTTGTGTGTGTCTTCAGTTTTGTTTATTCCAGTCATATGTGCAATTGTAATTTAATTATTCAGACTGATGAAATATGAGTAACAAGTATAAAGTGTTGTTGATTTAATGAAATTCAAGTTGAATTCTTTGTAAAGACTTTGTAAAGGTGAATCACTAAAACAACTTTTGGTGTAAATAGGTATGAGCTACACAACTATGAAATATTATCTGGCATGGGGGTGGGTGTAAGGGATGAATGTAAAAAATTTGGAAGGATCATGCATTCAGTTTGCTTTTGTAAGTCCCTTTAAGCACTCACGGACTTTAAATAAGCCAAAAACTTTAAACTGTCAGTGACTATAAATAGATGATACATTGAGGTATAGTTTAAGCAAGAAGAATAATATGATTTAGCAAATCAAGAGTCAATGGCAGCTCTTGGTCCTAATCAAAAGTTTGGTCAATAGGTGTAAAATTTTATGTTTTACCTTTAAATAAGCTAAATATGTTAAAATTGCTTTAACCAACTTCTTTGTGTGTCTCAGTATCCTGTGTAAAATGAAATGAGAATAATTTTACCTAACAAAGACATTTTTTTGAATGTGTGAGGACTAAATGAGATAATATATGCATAACACCTAGAACAGTGCCTGGCACAAGTACTAAAAAAGTTAGCTGTTGTCATCGTCTTCATCGTTGTCGTCTTCAGCAGCAGCAGCAGCAGCAGCAGCAGCAGCATTTAAAATGATCTGCAGTAAGGCTTATGTACACATTTTAAAGATACAACTTTTTGGATCCCTAACTGCTTTTCTCTTGCTGCTTTTAGGATTGTCTCTTTGTCTTTCACCTTTGCCATTTTAATTATGATGTGTCTTGGTGTGTGCCTGTTTGGGACTTTCTGTGCTTCCTGGGCTTGTGTAGCTATTTTCTTCGCCAGGTTAGGAAGGTTTTCAGTCGTTATTTCTTCAAATAGATTCTCAGTCTTCTGCTTTCTCTCTTCTCCCTTTGGTAACCCTATTATGTGAATGTTGTTGAGCTTCATGTTGTCTCAGAGGTCTGTTAAACTGTCCTCATTTTTTTGGATTCTTTTTTGTTTTTGCTGTTTCAATTGGGTATTTTCTTCTACCTTGTCTTCCAAATCGTTGATTTGATCCTCTGCTTCATCTAATCTCCTGGTGATTCCTTCTAATGCATTCTTCATTTCAGTTATTATATTTTTCACTTTTGACTGGTTATTTTTTATGGTTTCTATGTCCTTTCTTATGCTTGCTATCTCTCTGTTGAAGTTCTCACTAAGTTCCTTGAGCATCCTCATAACAATTGCTTTGAACTCTTGCCTCTGGTAGGTTGCTTCCCTCCATTTTGTCTAGTTCTGTTTCTGGAGTTTTCTCCTGGAGTTTTCTCCTGTTGTTTCATTTGGGACATATGTCTTTGTTTCTTCATTTTGGCTGCCTGTCTGTGTTAGTTTCTATGTATTAGGTAGGGCTGCTATGTTTTCCAGTCTTGCCTAGTGGCCTTATGTAGTAGGAGTCCCATGGGTCCAGTGGCACAGTCTTCCTGGTCACCCAAGCCAGCTGCTCCAGGAGTGTCCCTTGTGTGGGTTGTGTGTGCCCTCCTGTTATACTTGAGCCTTGATTTCTGTTGGCACATCAGTGGGTGGTACTGACCGTCAGGCTGACATGTTGTGGGGTTTGACCATGTCTACAGCTTACAGGCTACTGTGCAGGGTGCTTAGCCCACAGAAGGGGATTCACCCAGTGGGCTATGGTGCCTGTTGAGACAGCCTTTTGTGTGTACCGATTGTGGGGCTAATTGAGTGGTGCTCTGCTGTGGTCTGAAGCCAACTTTCAAGTATGTTGGTTCTGGGGCCTCTTGCGGGGGCTTCGATGCAGGTCCTGGTCATCCACTGCCTGTGATTGGTTGGGGACTACCTGGTAGGAGCTAGAGGGCAGTCCACGGTTGGTCGCTGCTTGTGCTGTACCTGGAGGTGTGTGGGAGAGGCCATGCCCATGCTGCAAACAGAGGATGGTTCTACGTGTACTGGGTCTGGGGTAGGTCTGCAAAAATCCAGGACACTGTGAGGCCTGCTACCACCTGCCAGCTTCCATAAGGTTCAGCTGCTGATAAAGCTTCCTGTGGTACACAGGTTGAGTGAGGCAGGGTCTCAGTGAGTCAGCAGCAGTGGAGCTCACCAGGCCAATCAGATTCAGATTTGGCCTATGGGGGCAGGCTCAACACAGGAAAGATGGCACCTGCCTGCTGGCTGCCCAGGAGGAGGGCTCCACTCAGGGAAAATGGGGCTGTCCCTCCAATCTTCACCCTGAAGTTACACATCTCAGTCTCTCCCCATATGGCTCCATTGCCTCCAGTCACTGTCCCTTTGCCAGAGCCTAGGGTGAGTGCCTGCATGGGCCCTTTAAGAGGACATCTGGGTTTCCCACAGCCTTCTGTCCCATCTGTGTGGCCAGAATCCCCACTGTTTTTCACAGCCAGAAGTTGTGGGGGTTTTTATTCCCCAGCACCAGTACTCCGGGCTGGGGAGCCTGGTGTGTGGGGCTGTTGTCCCTCACTCAGAGATCCTTTGTGGCCGAGATATCTGTCCCAATTTTCAATTGCCACATGGGGGGGTGTGGGACTTGCCGATTTTGTGTCTCCTCTCCTCCTACCACTCTTGACGTGGCTTTTTTATATCCTTAGTTATAAAACTTCTGTTCAGCTAGACTTCAGATGGTTCTCCATGCTGACTGTTCTATAATTTAGTTGTAATTTTGATGTATTCATGGGATGAGGCAAGCACAGTGTTTCTCTACTCCGCCACCTTGATCTCCACCTGAGTCCGAGAAACTCTTTCTTTCTTTCTCCCACCCTGCTCTTATTTTCAGGATTTATGAGAAGAGGAAAATTTGACTATACCTACCTGTTCTCAGGAAATGTTGAGACCTGAAAATGTATATGAGACCTAAGTGAAAGGGCTAGGTGTGGTCTCAGCTGAAGACTATAAAAAAGATTTGAATATAGAGCGTGTAAGGTGTCTTGGTGGAGTTGTGTGGAATACTTACATGGCACTTGTCCACACAGCCTAGATCTAGCCAAGGTGTTTCTCACTTAAATGAACACTAAGCTTCACATAGTTCTGTCACAATTGTAAATAGAGAACAAACAAAGGAAAAGAAAATATAGTCTTGACAAAAACTCCTAGTAGCTAAACTCTAATAGTTGTGTGGTAGTCGACTACTGATTAAAAGGGTAGGCATTGCACTGTATTCCATCAATTCCTAAATGCATCTGCTGACCTGTAAGTTACAGGTTTTCATTAGTGAATCCATATTTAAACAGTGCTTTTTTGGAGGGGAGTTAAGCTTTTACCTGCTTTCTTTCTGAAAGCTGCTACACACATTTTCATGTCATTTCACAACATGTTTTCCTACCTAAGAATGTACACCTTATAGGAAAGAGGTTCAAACTTCAGGGTCAGAGACAACACCAACACTGCTGATAGTTTCCTCCTTGGTTGGAATGCTATAATATTTGATTCAGTGCCGGTAGCATTAGAATGAATGCACTATCAACTGTTACTTTTATTATTATTATTATTTAAACAAGTGATACCATTCACCTTCTATAGATGATTTATATGGCATTTCCATAATTTTTGTAAAAATAAAGCAAATAGGTAGCAAAGTGGAATTTAAGATGTTTTCCACAGTTGAAATAATTTTTAAATGATTATTCTAAAGTTATTAAGTACCCTTTTGTGTCTTTAAGTAGTACAAGTATCACCACTGGTCACTCTCTGTGTCTATTATGGAATTTAGATCTGTTTTTCATATTATAGCCCATCCTTATCTGTCATAAAGCTTTTGGATAAAGAAATATTGCATTTCTACTGCATGGCTCATTATAGCATTGGGATTACCTCAGCTCATACAACGTACATATTTTTACCCATGAATCTTATTCAAAGTTTTCCTCTACTCTGGCTTTACTGTGCGTTCCTTTTAATCATCGCCTGTCCTATGAACTGTGGCTGTCCTCAAGCTTTTGCCCTCAGGTGTGTCTTCATATATTTTTATTTCCTCTTCAGTTTGTCAGCATTTGTTAACATGCATTCCTGTTTCTAACCTACACTTTTATTCCTTAATTTGTTGATAAGCCTTTTTATTTATTTATTTTTTAATCTATGCCATATCCATCGAGTTATTTTACATGAAGACAGCAGTGGAACTTATAAAAACTAGGTAGCATCCCAGAAATGAGCAGTCTTTATATTGAAGTACAATAGGCTAGGTATTTAGGCTTCTACCCAGTGAAGATCTACCAATTATATCCTTTTGTTATACAAAATTTGTAAACAAGTAGGGTTCAAGAGAATTTTCTTCTTCATATGAAAGTTCTGTTAGTCAACACAATATTCAGAATCCCTTGCTGAGCATGTTTCTAGGCAGAGAAAAGAGTCAGTTTTAGTTTGGATATGTTCAGAGTGCTCTGTTCTTGATTCATATCCCAGGGGCCCACCCCTTTGATATT